TCCACTTGCGAATTTTTTCGCGCGAAGCGAATTTTTCATTTGTCTTTGGCTTCTCAACTGGAACCATGTGGAATTAATTGGATAAAGACAAAAGAAAAATTCGTTTCGCGCGAAGAAATTCGCAAGTGGAAAACCAGCTTAAAGCCCGTTCTCTACTAGGCGAATTTGTTCGCGCGAACAGTAAAAAAGTAGGAACTGATCCGCGAAAAATCGCGGCGAATTTTTTCGCTGACCAATCACATTGCAAATATTTGTTTTTCGCTTCTCGTCGCGCGAAAAAATTCGCCTAGTGGAGAACGGGCTTAATGCTCTGTGGTTTTCTTTCTTATTAAGAAAACAGTCTTCTGGCGTAATTGGCATATTCATATAACTTTCAGAGCAAAATATGTAAGTCATGACAAGTTGTATTCCAATACACTGGTGCTTTTAAGCTTTATTCGATCTATTTTCATAGCGCAAGTATAGTCCAGGGGCCGGTTGTATAAAACTCTTAATCACTTTTTTAATCACTATTTTGTAGTTAAGTAGTGATTAACTCTCAAACGTGCAATCCGCAAGTACACTTAATATCGGGCCCAGTCCACAACTCGACGCTCTCGCCTGAAAATCCAAAATTGCGTCAGCCACGCCGGAAGATAACCTACGGTACCTGTTTGTACCTGTCATGCAAGGAGAGCAACTGGCTGATATTGTGATGTTGCTCTGAGTGCCGTCCACACCGAGCAAGCTAAAAAGTTTGCTTGACCGCGGTGGGAAATGAACCCGCGACCTTTTGTTTTATGCTCTACCAACTGAGCTACGAGGTCAAATTGGTTCGATTGCGTGGTTTCGTGATATTTCTTGTTTCTGGTGTTGCGGTGCACTCAGGTGAAGATATAACGGAACTGCGTGATATTTTGAGTGTGTGATATTTCCGAAATATGCGACTGGACCTCGTACCTCAGTGGTAGAAAAATCCAATGCATGGATTTTGTTAGGGTTCGCTGTGTGCATTGCTTGCATATATAGTCTCCCCGGCCT